TTAATATTTCCAAGATTTATCCATGTTACAGCAGGTATTGCTACTTTGTTTCCCTTTGTTGCTGAATAATATTCCATTGTATGGCTAGATCACATTTTGTTTAGTCATTGAATAATTAATGGACATTTGAGTTTGCCTTTTACAAATAAGGCTGCTACAAATATTTGTATGCAAGTTTTTGCGCAAACATGTTTTCAGTTCTCTTGGACATATACCTAGGAGTGGAAATATAAGTTACGTGTCTAAATACTTGATATCAAAATCTATTTGGTTTCTGAGTTCAGGTAACAGAGGCTATCTCTCACAATGCAAACAACTCTATACTGAGCTCTCTATGCCATCCCTACTCAAACACCTACCATCTTCAAAGTCTGCAGATACTAGTAATGATTTACTTTTTTCCAATTAAATTGGGGAGCAGAGATCAGTTCTTATGGCTCCAGTTATATAGTAGGTACTTAATATATGCTTATCTGACACCCTAAGAAGCTCCCAAATGAGAGAATGATGACTATTTACTCTTTCATTTTATAGATATTTGAGTGTTTAATGTATGGTAGCCATTGTGCTGATGCTGGGCGTAATTGTGGACAAAAGTTATTGATCAGTTTCATCATACTCCAAGAACCAGCTCACCTCCACAAATATTTACTGAATACCTATGATGTGAATGGTCTTGTGCCAGGTATGACAGCACAGAGTGGAATAAGATCTAGTCTGCAGCCTTTTAGGGAAGGCATAAACTCTACCTACCACAATAACGCAATAAAAACAAACAAGAGGAGCACTGGACAGTAAATGCTGTAAGAAAGGTATAATGCTCTGGAGAGTTAATGGACAGAATATGTACAGTTTGGGAGAGTGTAGAAGAGAATGGATATCAGAAAATATTTCTTCAATAAACAACCTGAAAGAAAGTGGCATGTTGATAGACGGGGATTCCAAGGAAAAAAGAGTGTTTCAGGCAGAAAATAGCATGAGCAAAAATATTAAAGCTGGGTGCAGTACAGATTCTTTTTTCCTCCCAGAGGCTGTCCCATTTGGATGTGTAGATGAGTAATGAGAAGTATGATCACAGTGTGAAAGGTCTTCATTGTTGGTCTTAGTATTTAAATAAGTTTAGGAGAATGAGTTGAAAGTCTGCCTGTAACAATTCAAATTACCTTAGTGATTTGTGCCAAGATTAAGATTCCTTAATCTTTCCTTGAAACTTTTCTATTTTGTATATCTTCTAATCATGGAAATTAGTGATTTATCCTTCCCACAAGGAAAAAAAATTAAATCTTGACAACTATGTGAGCATGCTGATAGGGGGACAAGGCTGAAGCTCAATCAGTCTACCACTGCATCCCATACTGTGGGGAAAATGTACAGCTTAAAACAGACATGTGGGCAAATCACAATAGTCAGAAAAGCAGAAGCAAGATTGGGGGTAAGATAATTGCATTAATGAAGCTTCTAGCACCAGGTATTGGACCAGGAGATTTACATATAACATTCTGATTCCACCAAACAACCCCATTTGGATTTAGGAAAACTGAGGCTTAGGGAGGTCAAATAAATTGCTCATGGTTACCAAGCTAGTAAGCTCAGCTAGTAGAATGTAGAAACCACTGCTGAATTTGGGCCTATCTGATCCCATATTTTCCCCGTTGTTCACTCTTATTTGTTTTCACAATACAAACGAAGCTAGAATGGTAGGAAAATGATACATATTTCAATGAAAGGGGCTGAATAGTTAACACAGGGGCTTCTATGGTCTGGAGAAAAATTAGCATGAAACATTCAAATCTGGGTTTAGAATGGCTTAGAGATTAAGACCAGGAGAGATCAGGTTTAGGGCTGCTTCTTTATCCAGTTTGAACACCGATCATTTGCTCATTTAGGAATACCAAGTGAGCAAAATTCCAGTTTTAATTTGTAAATTAGAGAGTAAACTACAAAAGAATACGAATATTTGGCCGTATTTACTGTATTCATAGACCTGAGAACAGTGACTGGCACATAGTAGACACTCTAAACTTTTGCCGAAATAATGAAAAGTTATGTAAGGGGTATTCTCATTTGAATACCCGTGAAGACTATGAAATAAAGACAGCAAAGCAGTAAGTTGAAAACCCATTCAAGTTCTTAAGATACTTCCTTTAATCCTCAACCCTATGGCAAAAACAACAACAACAAAAATAAACCACCATCAAAACGACAAACAAAGAAAGCAATAGTGGCAAAACATTAGCCTGATTTTACAAAGAAAAGTAGATGAAAGAATGAAAAGACACTTCTGTATTATGTATAACATCTCTGTGGATTATCGAATTTCAGTCAGATGGAAGCCAGAATTGTGACCTACGGTTTTAATATTTCAAACTGTTGTGAGCAGTGTATCCAATGAGTCTTTGAGAAACAAAATGGTTATCTAATCCAAGTATTTGAAAAAAAAATGGACAATTTCTTTATTATATAGCTGGCAAGTAATGGAATGAAACCTCAAATTCGTTAACTTGAAGTAACAGTACATGTACAAAAATCTTAATCTTAATTCTTTAAATTTTGATATTATATTTCCATTAAACATGCAAAGAAAACTGCACAAAGGGCATTAATGAAAAAAGAAAAAAAAAGAAAAAAACCCAAAACTTTGGAGGACAGCAAGCCTCTCCAAAGAAACATTTTTAAAAAGAATAAAAACAGGTTCTATGGACTTTCCCTCTCTATTTTTCACAGGCTTTTCTAATATTTCTTCTTTGACGGAACCAATGAATAACTGCCACTTATCACAAAATACCTTCTTTCAGATATGTACTTTATATATTGCTTTCTTCTAAACAGACAGTTCTTCAAGCTGCTCAAGTCTTTCAGCTGCAGCAATTTTTCTTATTTCTATTATACTGTATTTCTTCCATGGAGTATCATAAAGACCAATTTAATAAAGACAGTTTCCAAAAGGCGATATTACTCTACCTCAATCAGTATTTTAACATGATATTCTCTATTTTTTTCATTTAGTTCTGCAATCTTTCCATACTTCAATATTTCCTAACACTATAGTTTCATTTGTCAGGGTGACTATATTTTCTTCTATATTACATTAATACAGAAGATAGTGAACACTTTTTCTTTATTAATACTTGGGGCAGTCTACATGTTCCTAACCTATTAATAACCACGAAGCCAATATTTTGTCTTTTCAGTCAACTACTGCAATTGTGTGGTCTTTCAAAATATAAATCATACTTGATTTTAAGGTCTTAGACTTTTTTTTTTTAAAGTGACAACAGAAGGTTAAAACATGTTTTGTTTTTTTTTTACTGTAATATTTGGTTTAAAACATATTTTCTAACGAACTCTAAACCAAACGGCTATTTATTTATTTATTTTTGAGACGGAGTCTCGCTCTGTCGCCCAGGCTGGAGTGCAGTGGCGAGATCTCGGCTCACTGCAACCTACACCTCCCGGGTTCAAGCAATTCTCCTGCCTCAGCCTCCTGAGTAGCTGGGACTACAGGTGTGCGCCACCATGTCCAGCTAATTTTTGCATTTTTAGAAGAGACGGGGTTTCACCATGCTGGCCAGCCTAGTCTCCAACTCCTGACCTCGTGATGTGCCAGCCTTGGCCTCCCATAGTGCTGGGATTACAGGCGTGACCAAACAGCTTTTTAAAAAAACTACTATAGAATTAAAATAATTGCAGAGTCTGAGGCTAGATTAAGTACAATCCCAAAAGTAAAAGTACACAGGCCTTATTACTTCAAAAATTCTTGAAAGACAATACAGTTCTAGGTTCACTGATAACATATCCTAAAATTACTAACATTATTCAGATTTCACAAAGTAAGCTTCAAATAGATTGATTCCTTCAACACACAGACACACACCCCTCTAAGTATTGTGTTATCTGACAACAGAAGCCAAGGAATCAAAATTATTGAGTGTTTATTACCACCTCACGTACAGTTTATTACAAATGAGATATTGAAAACCAGAAAGTTCTTATTGATCTTTTGTCCTTTGTGAGCCAGCTTTTTCCTGTTTAGAATCGGAGCTGAGTCTCACGACCCTTGTGCTATACTTTTAATACCACAAAGAACAGATACCATTTAAAAATCAGTGATGAATTAAATTACAAAGGAGGAAAATGTAATAAAATGCAACTTTCACAAATGTTACGTGTAAGCTACGCATAAGAATTTTTAAGGCTGAGGAAGTTGTTCTCAGGCACAGGGCAAAACCTGTAGCCAAAATCAACAGGACTAATAATTTAAGACGTCAATTCTATCAGTTAAGGTAACATCAAATTTGAGTACTTTAGTGTGGTATTTTCATTCTGCTAAGAAGAAAACGCCCCGGATTTTATGTACAATATTCAGTCCCCTAAATAAAAAGTTATCTCCTTAAAAGAGAAACTAGATTTCCTGTTGCATGTCAAGGCAGAGGGCACCACACTTCACCCATCCGAGGCTGGACTTGAGTAGGGGTGCAGGTGTTGGCAATTCATCAGTCACACAAGCTATGTGGTCTTGCAGAGGTGAATAGAGATTTTTTAACAAGGGCTTTCGAATTCTTTGAAGAAAACACTGAGACAATTTTGCTGGGGAAGAAATGCTCCATCTTCCACGTGGAAACAAACTCATAAATTCTGACTGTAGGTTGGTGTTCAGCACAACTTGGAATAACCTAACTTTTCACATAAAACACAACCCCCAAGCTGCAAGACACGGTCTCCGCGAATGGCACCAAGCACCACCTTTTCAAGCCCTCACCAGCACTGGAAGTGGGTTGGACACCCCCAAACCATCACCACCCCCCCAACAGGAAGTGAGGGTGTCCCCCCTCCCCCAGGACGGCCTTCCTCCCCTCCCCCAACCGGAAGTTGAGGCGCCCCCATTCAGCCGGCCTCCAACCAAGACAAACCAATACCACCACCACCAAAAGAGGGGTGATCTTCAAGGGGTGAAAGGCAGCTCGACTGGGGCCACCCCCAAGCTCGCCTTGCTTACTGACCTGCTGACGACAGGGGCAGGAAGGGGCCTGGGGCCTAAAGAAAGTCCCTTGCACAGAGGACAATTCCCTCAGCCCCTCTCAATCGCCTTCACTTCACGCACTCGTCGTCTCACAGCTGGACAAAAATTCTTCCGCAGCACTTTATTTTGGTGTCCTTTCCTTTTCTTTACCTAATCTCTTAACCACCTTTCCACAGGTAACTCCTCTTACCGCACAGCATTTACAATTGCTCCGGTGAGGAGAAAAATGAAATATTTTCCACGGTCCCTTCAGAAAAATGAAGGGATTATTTTGCCCCAATGCGGCGAAGGACTACGTGGTTACGCAAGGTGAGCCTTATTTTCGTGGAGGTTTCTGGGAGATGTAGTTTTTTTTTTTTATTGCGACGGCCCGCAGAAAGTAGAGGAACTGAAATTGGTCATGACTATATATTAGCGTCCTCGAAAACATATTCTGTATTCGATGACGGCTGACCTAGCGGGCTCCGACGCCCAGATGGGCCCAGACTTCCCTGATCTTTTCCTATGCGGCTTAATCGAACCCAAATTTTCGTTCTCGCGGGCCCAAGGTCTCGGCAGCCCCGCCCCTTGTCTTGGCCCCGCCCTCCACAGCCAATCAGGCGTTCTTTAGGTCTCGTCCTCTGGAGCTTGGAACGCAGAGAGGAGGGGCCTGGCGGCGACTCCTCCCGCTGGGCTGAGTGAGACCTGGGAGACAACTGGAGCTTGTGCGCGCGCGCGCGCGTGCTCACGGCTCCAGGAGCGCGGCGAGCGGGCGAGGGCGCGCGCGGAGGGGCGGCGCGCGGGGCCGAGAGGAGGCGGGCAGGCTGGTGGGCTGGGCGGGCGACGAGCGGCCGGGAGCGCGCGGTGGACTCGGCCGCGGCGAGTAGTTAGTTAGTTGTTCTTAGTGTCAGTTGCTCGGCGGCGGCGGCCGTGGTCACCAGGAAAGGGACGGGACGGACGGCGATGGTGGTCGCCGCGGCGGCGTGTGCGCCCCTCAGGTAACAGCGGCCAGGCTGTCTGTGTCCCCTCGGTTGCCTTTTACTCACGCGCCGGCTGTGGGACCGCGGTTGCCGCGGGTTGAGGGCGCTGACCCGGGGGAATCCGGGCGGGGCGGCGCGGGTTCTGGGTGGCGCCGCTGCCGGGGCTCTGGCGGCCAGTGCGTCCAGCCCGGCGCGGGCTCTCGCTCTCCGGCCACCCCCGCGCCCCGCTGGTGCCGCGCGCCCCCCGCCTCCCCTGCCCCCTCCCTCGGCGGCGGCCCCGGGAGCGCGGCGCCCCCCAGAGGAAGGAAAGTTGGGACCCGCCGCGAGGGACGCCCCCCGGCGCGGCAGGGAGGCTGCGGGGGAAAGTGAAGCCTGGAGGAGCTGGACGTGGGGAGGCCGGGGTGGAAAGGACTTCTCTGGCTCCTGCCGGGTCCACACGGTCAGTCCGCTCCCACACCCGGGAGCATCGGTGCAGCCTCGCCGGCAGCGCCGGGTGGCTCCCTGCCTGCTCCCTTCGCGCCGCGGCTGGGGAGCTTGCGAACGTGTGGGCTGGCGGGGTCGTTTGGGGGTTGTGAGTGGTTCGGCTGCTCAGTTTTTTTCTTCTCTGCCCTTTGACTCATCCGTTCTTGCAACTTTTCTTTCCTCCCTCGATGGGGACTTGCCGTCTGAACCGCGTCTGTCCCCTTCCCCCTCGTCATATGCACCATCCGTCTGGGAGCTTGATTTCATTTTTTCCTCCTTTGGCTGCGTTCAAGATTGCTGAGAGCACCGGGAGCGACCCTCCTACCCCGCCTGCCTCTGGCCTGTTAAATGTTACTTTTTGCAATTCGTTGTTTTTTAAAGATCCAAGTTCAGGAATTTGAGAGCTGTGGAATGGAGTTATTGGAAGGCTGGCGTTGAGGGGGTAGTGATGAGCTAGAGGAAAACTATGATTTCATCTTTATTGGCCTTGCTATAGAAAAGCTAATTCATTTTTTTTTTCTGCCTCTATTGAGTGTGGTAAGATCATACGTTGAATTAAATACTTAGAGACTTACATAAAAGACTATTTTTAGGTCATTGGATGATGTACGAGAACAGCTTTTCACCTGAACTGGGATTGCCTTGAGGATTCTGTTTTGGGGCCTACCTACTGATTTTTGTTCAGCCACAGCGTCGTCTTTTCCCGATAAATGAAGTGATGTAGTGATGTGTGTAGTCAGAGAACCCATATTGCTCTCTGCAGTATGGAAGTGAAAAACGTGAATTATCCACAGGGGTAAAACTTTCCATGAGCAATCTTGGATACTCACTTCATGATGGCTTCTCCCGTAATCTCAGAGCATTTCTAGATAGCTCAATTCACTGGCTACCCTAATTACTTTCTGACTTGCCTGGGACTTCTCTTTGGTGACTTGTTTAGTAAACTATAATGGCAGATATGGTACATTTTCTTGGCTTCAAAGTTGAGGGTTATAGCCTCAGCCCAGAGATGAACAATGGAAGTAGAATTCATAGCACTGCTAGTGAATTTTGAATATGACCAACTCACAAACTATGTGAAAAAACAAACATCCCCTTTTCATTGCTGTCAGGGAGGAAAGGGGGAATATTTTATTATGTCTTTGTTTTGGATTCTCTAACATGACTGTATTATGTGGGAAAAATGTCAAATTATTTTCTTTAAGGCTTTTTAATGTGTGTTCCTTCTCTTCCCTCACTACCCCCTACTCCCGCCCCAACTTAGGGGCTAAAATTTATGTGTGGCTGTATTCTAGGGTTGGAAGAGAAGTGTTTTGGTGAAAGAAAAATATAAGATCACTTTGAACTATTATGATACCTCAACTATTCGTTTTATCCAGTTGATAGTACACAGAAACTTTCACAATAATGTTTGTAGCCTGTTAACGTTCAAAATTCATTTTTAAGAGTCTACCCTGAAGGCCCATTAAGAAATAATGCCACTTCATAACTGTTTCCCGACAATCACGTTAAAAAATGTGTTCCTGGAATGCATTATACGTGTACTCATATAAACATTTATCTTTGTACATTTATGGTAATGTAAATATTTAAGCCTGAGAGCTTAAAAACTTTTATTTGCTTATTTGCATACATGTTTTTCAACATCTAACAGTGCCAACCATATTTGCCAAATAAGCATCAGCAATAAATTCATGCTTTGGCACATTTCATGTAATAACTCTTCTAAATTGTTCCGTGGTGAAGCATCATGAGATTAGCATTTGCTTCATGAGAGAGATTTGTTGTTCTTTTTAACTGTGCTGATGTGCTGTTTAAGTGGAACAGGTGCTGGGCCCTAGCCGTTTGTGTTGATACCTGCCAAATCATACCCTTTTGTTGGATGGGTTGTTTAAGTAATTTAGGAACCAAACTGTGGCCCCTGGCATGCCAAGTGTGAGTACAAGGCTCCATATCAGTGTTGCAAATCGCTGTTTTCACTGTAAGAGGCAGATGTGTATGATGAGCATTGTTCTGTCATTTGCTCATCTCTTTACTGTGATTCCTACAATCTTCCCCACCCCCCGCACCCCCCACCCCACTTTCCTTCCCAGTCATTTCATTACTGAGACTCCTGGTACAGTCTAGGTTCCCTCAAGGCTGATTTGTTTTCCTTCGTGAATTGTAAATTCTAGTAACCTTTAGGCCAGGAATAGATAGTTTACATTTGTTTGACAAATGTTTGAGTACCTTTTAAGTGCCAGGCATGGTGGTAGGTAGTACCTGAGTATTATAGAATATGATATTCCTTTTTGCAAGGAGGTTACAGTTGAGAAGGAAAAGATAGGTGATAACCAATAATTATAGTATGACAGGGCTGTGCACACATTCCTATGGATGGAAGCACAGAGGAAGGGTAGCTGACTCAGACTTGGGGGGATGGGGGGAGGGTGTCTAGAATGCATCTTAGAGTGTTACCTGGGCTAATCTTCAATAATAGGTAAAAGTTAACTAGGTCCAGAAAGAGGGAAAGTACATCTTATACCAGTGCTGTCCTATAGAAGTTAAATACAAGCCACAAATATAAGTCACATATACAACTTAAAATTTTTTAGTAACCACATTTTGAAAAGTAAAAAGTGAAATTAATTTTAATAATATAAACTCAGTATATCCAAAATATCATTTCAACATGCATTCAGTATAAAAAGTAATATTGAAATATGACTTTTCCATTTTCATACTGTCCTCAGAATCCCGTGCATAATTTTCTACTGTCTTCAGAATCTGGTATGTAATTTACACTTATAGCACATCTCAATTTGAACAACTACAGTCACATACTCAATGACTGCAGGTGAGTGGACAGCAATAACACTGCTTTAGAACAGGGGTGGATGAAGTAATAAGCCAAATCAATGATTGTCTTGTGAACCAAGTTAAGGAACTTTAACTTAATTCTGAAGTTTGTGGGGATTTAGTGGGGAAAAAATTAAGCTATGCTGTGGTAGAATCAGATTTGTATTTTAGACTCGTCATTTTGACGGTAAAGTGAATATTGAATAAGAAACAAAACTGGAAGCAAGGACCAGTTAGGAAGCTATTCCTGGCGAGAAATGATGAAGAGTGTAGAAGAGGGAGTGGCTCTATGAGAGATTTAGGAAGTATTATTAACGGGACGGGAAAAATATATTTAGATTATAGAATTGAGCAAGACTGAAGATTTTGGATGATTCCTACATTTCTGTTGTGATCTGCTGAGTAGATTGGGCAAGCAGCGGAAGAGAAGCCAACCATCTGTGCCAGACAGACCAAAGATGAAAAAAGGACATAGAGATTTGTCATGAAAGCTGAGGGAGAATATTATTTCAAGGACTAGGAGTGGTCAACACTGTATCCTGCCTCCAAAAGGAAAAGTAAGATAAAGACTGAATAAAGTCTCTGAGACTTGATGATTAGAATGTCTTTTGTAACTTCAGCTAGAGCACTTAGCTACATTGTAATGCATGGGGGTGGGTGTTGAAAAGTGAATAACAACTGTAAGTGTAGCTAATTGAGAGGGATACAATGTTTTCAACAAAGGACTCTGACGGAGTCTGTAAGTAGAGGGAGATGCTTGGGATTTAGAGAAGTTTGCCTTTTTTACAAATGGAATCTTGGACATGCTTAATATGAGCCTGGAAAGAGCCAGTGGAGAGGAGAAACTGAAGAAGAGTGTATATGTGTGTGTTTGATGGGTGTGGGAAACTGGCTGGTGGATGGAGGCAAGGATTTGGAGGTAATAGGGAATGGGATCCAGGGCGTAGGTAGAGAAGTTGGCCTTAAATAGAAGGTAGTCTCACTTTTCCAGTGAGCAGAAAGGAAGGAGATGGATGGCAGTGTAAATAAGTTTGTAACTGACAGGGCAGGAAGGAAGAGTTGATGACATGTCTTGTATAATTTTTAATCATCTGCTAAGAGTGAAGGGAATGTGATAGAATAGGGGTTTTTAAACAATATGTGAGGCCAAGTGCTGCGGCATGTGCCTGTAGTCCCACCTACTCAGTAGGCAGAGGCAGAAGGATCGCTTGAACCCAAAAGTTGAAGGCCAGCCTGGGCAACATAACGAGACCCTATCTCTTAGGAAACACACACACACACACAAAAGCCAGGTAAAATTAATCCATCCCTGTGAAAGGAATGGAAA